TCAAATGAGGAAATCAGTACTGAAAATTTTCCGCAATTTATCTATACGGATGTATGTAGCTTGTTTATGAATCATCTTTATGACGGTCAAGCGTATTATCTATTATTTATACTTCGACACTCGTGTTTGCGATTGTATTATCAAATTCATATTATAACGAAATTATCACACCTATATTTGCACGGAATAAGGTGACTCGTTTTCAATCGCATTTGTGCGATCCGTAAAAACGGGCTGAAGAAATATTTACGTAACGATATAACAGCAGTTTCCTAGTAGTTTCTCGTTTCGGGATCTGAGTGCAGGGAATAATTTCCGGTATCGTTTGAACAATCTTTTTCGTTCTATATAAATTTTTTCCTATAAAAAACGTCGCTGCATGGGAGTGTAATACTTTTTGCTCTGAGTTTGGTCGGAAGAACTGGCTAACTTCTACGCGAACTCTCTTCCCAAGTACTGACTCGACCGGTTTCTTCTTTTTTGTATTGGCGTACCATCAAAGGAGGGACAGTACTTGGCAATGGTGACTAGTATCCGTTACAAAACGATGCTTACAAGCTTCTTTCCACACACGTATGTACGCGTTTCTATACGCGCGAGGAAAGGTAACCGTGAAACTCGCGCTTTCCTTGGAATCTCGCGAACTTTGTCGTGGAATCTTGATCGTTGCCTGGCACTTTGATGCGGATGGGAGGGAACAGAGTTCTCGGGAGAACGTGAGAGAAACATCTTTCTTTCCGAAACGTCTCGTTCAAGTTTTATGCGCATCTAACTAGTTTCCTGTATCACTTTTACTTCTCGCGGTTACTTCGAGACGGTAAAATATTATACTTTCCGCATATTCTATGAGGAATTATTCTATACAATCGTCGTGAACCTGTTGACACTTGGTGTCGTATAATTATGAATTGAACAGCACGTGTAGCTGATAAATCGTTTTCTGACACAGTCTGTACGCACTAAAAAAAGAAAGGTTGCGCCATACCCGCATTCGCGTCGAGTATATTTCAAAACCTCGTCTCATTGTCAACCGCGAGGCGTATCGCCCGCGGGCCTGTTTGGGCCTGGAATTGGCGCGGCACGGCTGCGGCCGATGCAACGTGGCAAGCAAACGAGAGTGATACACCGATCGATCGTCCGTGGCAAAACATCGCGGGCGAAAGTTTGCAGAAAAGTGATAATTCCAAAACACATTACTTATTCGTACCGCACCGGAATGGATATGGGAAGGAAGGAAGGAAGGAAGGAAGGGTAGCTAAGGTATACAGTAGGAGGAAGCACAAGGTGCGGAGGGAGCGAGAGAAAGCGAGAAGAAGAGAGAATGGAGGGCAGGGCAGGCGTTGGAGAACCGAAGTTTCGCTTTAGGAGCGGAGAACTTAACTGAGTTAACTTTGCTGCCGAACCAAACTTTCCGCCAACTTTAAGTAGTCGCCTCGTCCTCTCCTCTTGCCCCGTTTCCCTTCCCTCCCTTTCCTACACTCATGGCCGTTCGCTCGTTGCCCGCCGGAGAGACGAACATGGAGGCGGAAGGTACTGCCCCTCTCTCTCTTTCTTCTCTTTACCCCTTTACCAACCGTTCCATCGTACCCAAGGATGAGAATGCCCGAATGCCGACACCGATACTCGTCATCATAATTGGACGAGTTTCTTTTTCTTCTTTTTCCATCCGAGTTCCCGCCGGATTTTTTTCCCCGTTCCGTTTTCGTTTGTTCTTCACCGTTTGCAACTTAGAACAAACTCACGGATCTCTCCTCTCGGGCATTAGTTGAACCACGTGTTCGACATTGTTTTTCCCGTGTTGGAAAGACGAAATGCCTTCACCGATTTCCGGTCAGTTAATTCTCCTCTAATTTGGATTGTTGTTCTGCAACTTCTAGTAATCTACTTCTTATGTAGAGTTTTATGTAACAGCGTTAGGTAAATGGAAAATCGCGGGGAGTATAGTAACGTAAAGTCTGCCGGTTTGTAATTAAAGTAATGGTTTCATTTAGGTGTCTAAAATTTACCTAGAATACGTATCTATTAATGTTAACAATGCATCGCATTAAAAAGATTTCCACAATGGTATGTGCATGATTATAGTGAACGTTATCACTAGTGCACTTTCCTAATAGGCTTGTTTATTCCTGTTCCATTATCAACGAGCATTCCTAATGCCGTGCTTGAAATAATGGAGGTTCTGTTGCTTTCAAATGACTTAATTCTAATTAATTCGTCTCGGATACCGCGCTATAATATTCATCGCGTTATCAGTCACGTTTATTAGAATATCAAATTACGCTTATGATTTGAAAATGTAATCGAGAATTTACATCTATTTTCACGAGTCTATTGAACTCTTACATCATAGTAAGATACGTCGAAGCGGATTCACTTAGTTTACTATTCAGATCGTGGAATAGTGTTATCGAACGTTTCGAGAGTGTAAGAAGAGTTTGATAACGATCGCGTTATTAATAAACCTCCGGCTTTAATTTACCGGTTGAAATCAAAGCTGTTCTCCCTATCGGTCGATACAAAAAACTTGCCGCGATTATTATCGCAACGAAGTCGTTAGAATTTCACGTGTCACTAACAAAAACCTAGTCACCTCTCCGCGCGATAAGTTTCGAAACAAACTTTACTTTATCGTAGCTCGATTGTAGGAAGGGAGAGAGAGAGAGAGAGAGAGAGAGCTGGCAGGACGAGCTTTCCTCCCACCAATGGGTTCTCCGCCAAGTAAAGTTGCTCCCAGGTTAGACAATAATTGGATAACTTCGCCCTCATAGCTCCCCGTCCCATCGCATCGGCAAGCTTCGACGCCCCCACCTCGAGCTCCGCTTCCCTCTTTCGTTCCCCTCCGTCTTCTTCCTCACCGCCACCCTGCGTCTCCCTCGTTGTATCTGTATTATAACTCGAAAAACTCTGTTGCACACCGAGATTAAGCTAAAGGGTTGAATTCGGCCGCTTAGTCGAAACGTCCGTTCTAAAAGCTCGATAAATTTTTAACTCTCGTTCTCCAAACGTCTTTTGACAACTTCCCAAACCTCTGCTGGTTCATGAAACATTGTCCTGTTGTATCAATATTTCATAAGTTGTTTTCATACCCGAAGACGATACTTACTCTTTGTTCAACTTATTTATATGCGGTGTAATTGTAGAGAATGTGCAAGGAGGAACCGTCTCGTTCTAAGCGCACTTCCTCAACACACATTCCTCTTCCTGGTACTAAACGTACGAATACTACGTATATCCACGTATGATATACGCTGCCAGCTGTCGAACAAGGGCTTAATCTCGCCTCCTTGCCTCTTCTCCTTTTGATGATATGAGCTTGCATTTTCGCTGAGTTGGCACAACATGTGCCCAAGTCAAAGTGCTTGGGTTAGCACTCTGCGTTAGTATCGCATCCTCGCTTTCGCTGAGGCCAGCACCGATCTCATTTTGTACCCTTCTCCGCGGGCTGTATTTCCGATTGCCAGTGTGTATTTACCGGACAGATCAAACATTCCTTTCCTCTTCCTCTCTCCGTTCTTCTTTAACACGACCGCCCAGCGAACGAATATTAATGAGTATCATTTATCTTATATTACTAACGTGACCACATGGAATGTTACCGCTTCGGTGATCCAACTTGGATCGCTCGCTGACCAAATCTCTGAGGACACTCGTAACGAATCGAGATCTTAATCTCGTTCGTGTCAATGAAGTAATCGAATCTTAAAGTAGTCTACTTAAAGATATTCATTGAGATTTTTGAACGAAGGAGATTTAATGGTTGTTTAGACGTACAATCAGTGTACAATTTCTTTAATATGTATGAGCTACATCGGTTCTTTTATTTGACCGAGGAGAAAGTTGTTGAATGGGTTTTCATCAATGAATATTCTGTACTACTCTGTACGAGAGTAGTAATGTTTAAAGTTGCACAGCAATCGTTAAGAACATGTACCATCTCGGCATGGCACTTTCTTGAAAGTTTGATTTATTTTTGATGATCTTGGTCGAGTGTCGTGCGGTGACGGCGTCTGACGAGGGCGCCACGCGTCAGTTTCTCTACTTTCTTATGGAACTTCGCTGGTTCAGCATTTTTCCGTTCCGCCATATAAAAGCACCGGGTACTAAATCGACTCCGATCGAACAGATTTTCTGTTTTCGCACGGTCACTTGCGTTATTGGTTTTACCGATAAATACCGAATCACTTGGCTATTTATGAGTCGTCGACCGGTTAATCGAGATATCAAGCGTGCGAATGCACCGTGATTGGTTTACAATTGCTGCCGAAAATGGGCTGAAAATGTCGACCCACTAACCAAAGCCAGCCGTTCTATTAACAGTTCCAAAAACATTTGCCCCAGCTAGTAAGTAATTTCGTTCTCGACGCACGGTGTGTTGTTCGGTACGATCCCTTTTATCGTTGTTTAACGGGAAAGTGCAGCGAGTTTCGACGTGCTTTTGTTTAACGTGACTGCCGATATCGTATTATTGTGGCTCGTTGCATTTTCGGAGCGCTTCTATCACTGTGCTGAACGGCACGCACTGCGCAGGTTAAGCCGGCGCGTTTCAAGGTAACCTAAAACGTTCGGTTTCGTACACGCTGCTTGCTAAGTGTTCCGCTTCCAGTAACGCGAGCCAACGTAAAATATTCACGTTCGACCGGGCAACGGTATCTCGCTAAAATTCTCGTTAACGGGTATCGCATCCGCGAGTGATGTATTTCTAGCCATATGCATCACATGGATTTCTTCTCCGCGAGGAAATTCATGAAGGCGTCGAAATGTATGTTTATTGACCGAAGCTCATATTTTACGCGTACTGCATTTTTCTTTACTATCGTTTTTCGATTATTAAAGGTATTTAAACAGTTTCTTTAATCTTACTGCCGAAAGCCTACTCTTTAATTACGACGCGTTTATTCATAAAATATTTAATTTTGTTTACATCGACGTGATATTTAAAATTTTATTCGTACAATGTTATATTTCTATTTATTGAAACGATGGTATTTGTGTGTTTCCAGGAGACGGTGTCCAACAAGTCGTGATGTATTGGAGGTTCGGCGGTTCTTACCCAAAAACCGACCAGAAATCAGTGTTACAGAAGCAATTTGTGTGACAAAGCATAAAAGTGGAAAATTGTATTTTAAGACAAACAAAGAGGCTTCCTTATCAGTGGACTATAGGACTTCCTTGGAAGTAAGCAGACATTCTTAGTGACACTGAGAGTAAAAGTGAAAAATATAAAAATTGGGGGGGCTGTTTGACCGATGGACAAACGGAAGATGATGCCCAAACGCCCTCGAATGGAGAACCTGAGGGGTCCTATCGCGAACGGACCCATTCAGACACGACCATTAGTGGCTTTGTTAGATGGCCGAGACTGCTCGATCGAAATGCCTATTCTTAAAGATGTTGCAACAGTAGCCTTTTGTGATGCACAGTCTACATCAGAAATTCATGAAAAGGTACGTTGATCACGACGCAATCTTACTAATAAGCGAAAGGGTATAGTTTGTCGTTCGCAAAGATACATAAAGAAACATGGCATTAAAATTTTCCCGTAGGTACTAAACGAGGCAGTTGGTGCGTTAATGTGGCACACCATAATTTTGACAAAAGAAGATCTCGAAAAGTTCAAAACGCTGCGGATCATTGTAAGAATTGGATCTGGGGTGGATAATATAGATGTCAAAGCAGCAGGGGAACTTGGCATCGCTGTGTGCAATGTGCCTGGCTATGGTGTTGAAGAAGTAGCTGACACGACTCTTTGTCTCATTCTAAATTTATATCGACGTACGTATTGGTTGGCAAACATGGTTCGCGAAGGGAAGAAATTCACAGGGCCAGAACAGGTGAGAACATTGAAATCTGAACTTGTTCATTTGTAAATGAATCATCTAATTTAACGACGTGTTCCAGGTCAGGGAGGCTGCAACCGGATGTGCAAGGATACGGGGAGACACACTTGGAATAGTTGGATTAGGCAGGATTGGTTCTGCAGTTGCTCTGCGTGCCAAGGCCTTCGGGTTCACTGTCATCTTCTACGATCCCTATCTACCAGACGGAATTGAGAAGTCCCTTGGTCTCAACAGGGTCTACACATTACAGGTTTGATATAAGTTTGTGCCTTTTCACTTCTGACATATAGAATAAATGGTTTATCTATATAATCGTATATTTGCGGCACGTTACAGGATCTGCTATTCCAATCAGACTGTGTATCCCTGCATTGTACCTTAAACGAGCACAATCACCATCTAATTAACGAATACACCATCAAACAGGTAAGTATTTTTCCGTATGCTATGTTGTAGACTTTTCTTATGTCGTATTTACATTAACATTTTACGTCGCAGATGAGACCCGGAGCCTTTTTAGTCAATACAGCAAGAGGAGGCTTGGTTGACGATGAGGCACTGGCGGCGGCGTTGAAACAAGGCAGAATTCGTGCGGCAGCACTCGATGTACACGAAAATGAGCCATACAATGTCTTTCAGGGTCAGTCTTCTTTTTACGATACGCTTACTTGTGCGAATATCAAGTTTGCTCGCTTGAAACGATGCACACGCGAAAGTTAAGTGAATGTCGGAGTAACGGCATGGTATCTCTTTGCGTTGTACAGGTCCTTTGAAAGACGCACCCAATCTATTGTGTACGCCACATGCAGCATTCTACAGCGACGCGAGCTGCACCGAGCTTCGCGAGATGGCAGCCAGTGAAATACGACGAGCTATCGTCGGTCGCATACCTGAATGTTTGCGAAACTGTGTGAACAAGGAATACTTCCTTTCCTCGACCGGGTAAGCTTCGTTTATACGCTAAATAAGGAAAAGAGACCAGTTTAATTAAAGCGTAAGAAAGAAGTTTTTTTTTCTTAATAAGAAATAAACGCAAAACATCAGTATAGGGCATTATTTTTTTTTTTGAGTATCGTTGCATTTGTTTCTCTTACACCGGGGAAAAAGATATCGTAATTTTTACAGAAACAGATTTTCAAGCAGATGTTAACTCGTATTACATGGAAAGAGAATCGAGTGTGTAAAGTAACGTGGTTAGAAGCGTTCGAACCTCTTTGGATTTCCTAAGATCGATTGGGCACTTTGTAAAAGGCATTTATCGAAGTGGCCAATTTCTTTTCGCTTTCTCCAGCAGCTACCCTGAGGGGATCAACGGCGGATACTATTCCGGGGGGCTGCCCGTTCAACAGGCGCATTCAACAACTCCTCACGATTCTGCACCCCCACCTCCTGGTGGGCATTCCGTCGTCGGCGGCGGTGGTGGTGGGGGTGGTGGCGGACCGAACTCCTCTGCAGGCGGTGCAGGCGCCGGGGGTCCTACGGGCCCCGCGGGTCCAACGGTAGGCGGCGGTGGGGCAGGAGGCCCTACCACGGCTCCTCCTACTGCTGGATTAACCGGTATACCACACAGCATAGTGAGCGAGCCTGACCCCCGGCCGAGCCCACCTGCACCGAGCCCTCGTTGACCTTGAACCCCCCAACGTCCACTCCAGCACCACCCTCCGATCTAATTTCCCTTAGCCATTCACACACGACCTCTGACGACAAATGGCCGATTGACTAAACGTGAGTCGAGCACACGATGAGCCCCAAAAAAATCTGTCCGCTGCTTCCGAAGGAACTCGAGGGAATCCATCCTTGAGAAAGAGTGAAATGAGAAAACGGGGGGTAGGCGGGAAGAAAGAGAGAGCGAAAGAGAGAAAGGGTGAGAGAGAGATTGAAGGCAGGGGAGAAGAATGAGTGTGAGGGAGAGAAAGAGCAGCATGGTTTTCCTAAGTGGCCGCTATTCGTTTGTGCAAAGCGCGTAATCGCCGAGGAATACGCGCATTTCTACGTACGTTTAGTGCCGCTGCGCGGATGTGCGGATAGTGTCTGTGCGATTTTTGTGTATGCGTCGAACGTGCGAATGCTGGAGCTTGAGTCTATGTTCGGTAGACTCCTGGAATAGTGCATTTGATGTAAACATTGTGACCAAACCAAATACAGTTGGGCAGTAATGATGACGGCTTGCACCGATTGTCGTGGCTAACGGAGGAAATAACGAACGGTGGGTAACGATTCTCTCTGTGTCGTAATTTTGTATAAATCACTTCATAATTGATCGCACGACGTGCGAGCAAAAGCGAAAGAAGGAAATAGTACGAAGAAAATGGATTTTCGTTCGATTTTATTTTCGTTTCTATTTCGTTCCTCGTAGTTTCTTATCGATGCCCGAGTAAGCTTATTAACGGAGATTGGTAATTAGTTCCTCGAGCCCATGATCAGTTCTTCCTGTTATAAATAATACCTGCAGCATCGAGAAATACATTGGCTAGTCATAGAGTACAAATCAGCTCATGGGTGAACATTGCAATCATCGGACACATAACATAGTTGAAAAATAAGTTCTATCCATGATATTTCTCTTCCAGTTACATAGGATTAACCGAGACGTAGGGAATAGACCGTTCCTTTTCATTTCACGACAGTTTCATTTGTAATTCTCATTTTTTTAATATTTCATTCTAATTTCTATTCTTCTAATATTAAAAAAAGAAGGAAAAACCTCCCTGTTCGATATAAATATATATATACACGTACATAAATATATATATATATATATATTTTATATGTATTTTAATTCATCGCATACACTTTCATTGGAAACTTTCGAGGCACACATGTCTTTAGCGAAGGAGTCATGCATTATTTTGCCACACTGTATTTGGGTTTTGTGCATGATCTTTAGTTTTTGTTTCTAAAAAAGAACCATATATATAGATATATGATTTGGCAAGTTCAGTAACATTTATCAACTACTTTCTTTCTTTCGTGGATCGTTGTAACTTCTCAGTGTTAGTATATTATATTAAAACGAGAAAATGTAGTTGCTCACACGAAATACATTTTTATGTTTTACTCGATGATAATGAAAATGCTGCGTAAATGAATCCGTGATGAAAAAAACAATAAAACCAGTCAAACTAGTATATCTTATCTGTGGTGAAAAAAGAAAAAAGTGGACAAAGGTAAAGAGGAAAATTGTAATGTTGGGGCATTCTCAAGCGTGTGGAATTTCACTGTGTCGTTGGTTAATAACGAGTAGAACTTTGACAAAAGAAATAACTGAATGCCTGATTTATTCGTATTTTTGACTGTCGTTTATCGATGCAAGTAGACGCGTTTCAATTGCCTTACGATATTCGTGTATGATTAAAAAATAAGATTCTCGTTTGTCTTCGCGTACCGAGATTGGTCAAGGAAAAACGGGAGAATTGTGACGACAAACTTCGATGGAGACAAACCCGTATCCGTCAATGGAAGGAAACAGTTTCCGATAAACGGAGTTTTATAAATTTTTATCGTCTACCTAATTTTGCCAGTTGTAAGTTTTCTTTTATATAATTGCGTACGGAAATCTGATTGTATATATAGTCGCGAGGTTGTTTGAGTTACAAGATCATAAACTTTAGGATTAAATATTATTTTTTTATTGTGTATTAAGAATGATAGTGGATGAAAGATATGTATATATACATATATATATGTTTTTCTTTGAATGGGTATGATATGATTTTTGTAGATCACTTTATCGTGAACTCGGTTTCCTTCTTCTGACGATCTACTAGCCCTGAAAGTTGATCAATGGTAACGAATAGGATCATTATGCCGCGGGTGTATAGTAAAACGAATTGCTTCAATAAACTGAAAAAAAATGTGTCATGTTTGATTTTTGTGGTGGCATCTATTTTTGTACTTCTTTCGAATTACACTCACGAATGCCTTAACGTTCCCGTAATTGAATGCAGCATCTTCATCAGAAGTGTTTAAATTCGTAAATGATAACGATAATAATAATATTAATATTAATAATAATAATAGGTAACATCGATAAGTGGCGTTTTGATACAGAGTATTTTTGTGTTTTCCGAAGGAGACAAAACCACTTATTGTTTCAGAGAAGATATACCTATCGGTTAGCAGTCTTTAAGTGAGTGAGATTCTAAGTGGAAGAGAGAGAGTGAGAATGAGCACGTTTGCGAGTGAGACAGGGAGAAAGAGAGTAAGCGAACGGGAGAGAAAGAGAGAACAAACGAGCGAAAGGTTAGTACAGAACGGAAACAAGTTTTATTAATTGATAATTATTACATGATTAATTATTGTATTAAGTAAAATGCGATGTTACGAACACTTGAATATATTAACGAAAGATGAATCATTAAAAAAAAAAGGAAATGAGAGAAAGATGAATGGACAATTTTTTGAGGAAAAGAAGAGAAACAAATTAAAAGTGATGATAATAAGTAAATAAAAAAGTGAAAAAGAAGAATATGAAAAATCTATTTTAGAGACACACATATCTATTCGGTTCTTTTCGAAATGATTTCGTTTCATCGGCGGGGGGAGAGAAAGTGAAGAGATTTATAGCGATGGTTAGTAGTCGTGTGTAATTGTGGATCATCGTAAACGGCGTTCGTCGTTGATTTAAGACGTTTCGAAATTGTGCAGTTGTAAAAAAAAACGTTCGACCTTCTGACATCGTTGCGCGTTCGTGTTTCAAGTGGATCGTGCGAATTGCGAGGAGAAAAGTGATATAAATATATATATGTGTATAGACAATTGATCTTTCAGTTCTCAGCGATCGACATATATATACGTATTACGTCAGATGAAAACGTTGCCTTTCTTTTCTTCTCATTAGTTTTTGTTTTTTAATTTAAAGTCGTTCGGAAAACGATAGACTGAGTCGTAACTATTATTATTCATCGATGCTTCTGGGATAAAATGCGCACCTCAACACGAGCTTTTGCTTCGAAGCTTTCACGAGCGAAAGAGATACCATTCCAACTGATGTAAAGATCAGATTACCGTGCAACACTTGATCGATAAAATACAAGACGATGTAGAAACGAGTGTGTGTGAACGATAGAGAGAGAGGAAGGTAGAGAGAGAGAGAGAAGGAAATGAGAAAAGGAACACACGTAAAGCATCACAGAGAACACATACAGCGTGACACAGAGATGACATAATACATTTTTAAAATAGAAGATACGCTACGCGTGGGGGGGTACGTCTATCGAGCGACGAGACGGTCGAGGAAACTGCATGCTTATGTAGAAGGACTCCGAAAGATGTGTAGAGATTCGATAGCCAGCTCGTCTCTGCGTCGGACGTACCGGTACATAACGTAGAAGCATTATACATACGTTTTCTCCTTTTTTTTCTTTTTTGGTCAAGAATATTATTACTTATAAATACATCATTATATATATATATTATATATATATATATATATAAAGAAAGGACGAGAGAGCGAGCGAGAGAATTTTGACGAGTGAACACAAGAGGTACTCTAAATGCAGAAAGAAAGAGAGTGAGAGAGAGAGAGTTGTTCTTATATAGTTTTAATTGTGAAGAGAGAGGCAAATTAATGCGAGGATTCACGAATCACTTTATCTACCCACTTAATTGGCACCCGGGGCCGGAGAACACGGAGCCTCCTGTTTTATCCTCCCCTCTACCCGCGAGGAAATTTGCGAGTCCTGATGCTGTGGGATTAGAAAGAAAAAACAGAAAACAAAATGAATAGAAATTCACGCATTCATTCATCCGTTTTTAATCAGTTGTTCTCATATGAATATTATATATATTATATATATAGAGAGAGAGAGAGAGAGATATCATTCTTTTTTCGATGAAAACGGCGCCGGAACACCTTCGTTTTATAATTACAAATGAAAATGAAAAAGAAGCAAACCGACAAAGAAAAAAGGCCGCGACGAAAATTGAACGTGGTGAAAACAGCAACATTAAGATTATAATTAATAATAATTATAATAAATACAATATTTGTACAATAATCAACGGTGCTGTGGTGGATACTGTAGGTCTAAATCTGCGATACCCTGTTAACCTATCCTGACCTATATATTTTGTAAATAATAACGTACAAATAGCGAGCGATCAGGAAACTTCGCGAGTGCATTACTTTCTAAAGTTATAAACGGTGCCGATATACGACTCATTCATTTTATTTCTTCCAATTGAACGTTCCGATTCAGGAAACGACGACGACGATGACGACGACGACGACATTGATCGTGATGATGATAATGATACATATTCTCGATGAGTTCCTAATGCCAAATATAACACATATTGTGATTATTACTTGTCTTATGTGTCGTTTAAAAAAATATCCAAATGTAAGCCCTTAAATAACCGGATGTGTTCGTACATAGTATATATATATATATATAAACGCTTTTGCAAATTCGAATACGCATTTAATTAGATGTATCAGTCAGGAATGAAAACTCTGATCGTGAGTATCGGCCGTGTTGCCTCGCAGATAAAATTTATTTTACATTTTCTCTGGTAAGCTCGAGCCAAGTTGAATCACAGGTATTCGACAACACCGCGGTAAAATGCGATTGTCGTCGATGATCGATATTGAGCTGTGTCACGTTAGAGAGCCGCCGTGGACTCTCATATGCCTGTTGAGATTACCGCTTTGACTGAACCTCAGCAAGCACAGCTTGCACTGGTACGGTTTCTCGCCGGAGTGAATACGAAGATGTTTCGTTAGCGTAGAACTATCCGAGAATGCTTTCTTGCAGAAACGACACCTGGAATTACGAGAAACGGTAAAAAGGTAAATGATCGAATCGGTGAAGGATCGATCGTAACGTGGAACGTAAAACGTTTACGATCATCGTATCAGAAGATCGACTAATGACTATTAGTAATTTTTGGTCGATCAGTAGTAATTCTTCTTACTTCGAAATCGATTTACACGGCACGTGTTACGCTAAATAATTTGAATAATCCACGTAACGAGACGAAGCTTACCTGTACGGGCGTTCTCCCGAATGCGTTCTCATGTGTGTGGTCACAGAACTGCTCTGTGAGAATCGTCGATCGCACACGGGACATCGGAACGGTTTTTCTCCGGAATGGGTTCTCGCGTGGGCGGTTAAATTCGCGGCTTGGCTAAAAGCTTTCGAGCACGCGTGACACCTAAAGAAGGATTCAAGCATCTCATTACCGTCACGCGATTTCGCGCAGTGGATCGAATCTGGGATTATATTGAAGGATTCATGTTCTAACAATCGGAATTGGACAAGGATCGCGAGCGGTAAGCGTGAACGAAGGATCGAGGCGCAGGGATCGATCGGCGGGGTTGCGCGACTGACCTAAACGGTTTCTCCCCAGAGTGCGTTCTGAGGTGCGTTTTCAGGGTGCTGGGCCTCGCGTACGATTTCCCGCAGATCCTGCAAAGGTTAGGTCTGCCATTATCGTCGGGTGTAACCGGGTTTCCGGAAGCGGCTACGCACAGCGCATGTTCGCCGGGTAGTTGCAGCCTGGAATGGCCGTGCGCCGGGGGATGAGGGTGAGGATGGGTTCCAACCCCCGTGCCGACCAGGCTATTGGCCGGGGGTTGATTCACCCTCGTCTGTTGCTCCACCGGATTATATTGCTGGGCGGGACTCAATAAGGGTTCCACGCCCCATGCCGACGAATAACTTTGCTCGTACCTACGCACACAAACGTGAATCTACCGAATAACTACGGTCTCGCAACCTCCCTCATATATACCGTGCAAAATGGCGAGGGGTTGTCTTTTTACAACCAGAAACGGTAAGACGATAGTCGAAAAATGGTACGTTGCGTTTCCGTCAACTCTACTTTCACCGTTCAGCAATGCGGACAGTAGTTAGTAATATTTTATTAACATTAGATTCGTGTCAAGACGCGTCATTTTCACGCATTCCGAACTTCATGAAAATTACAGAAATCGTTCACATTTTTCTTCTACCACCTGCGTCGACTATTTACCGAGACTATATCGAAATTATTTCTCCTCAACGTTTTCTAATTTTAGAGATCTATGATTTTAGAACCGCGATTTTACGGAATGCAAACTGACGCGAGTCGTAGTGTAACGTACAGAGGTAGGTATGTAAGTGTCCGTAAACCTAGTGTTAACACGTTGACTGTCACGGAATTTTTCACGATTCCGGTCTAAAGAGCTAATTTGATTTAATCATGTTATATTATTAAAAACTTTAATTAATAGAAACTTTTCTTTCTTTAATAAACTTTGTATAATTGTATTTTCTGTTCATTTAAGCCAAACTTAATTTTTTATTTTCTTTCTTGAGGCCATCTATTCATATTTACACTGTTACGATATGAGTTTTATCGTAGCTGTACAAACATGGCAAGTAATGAACGGACAAGACAACTCGTAGTGGGCGTCCTAGGCAAGTAAACAATCTACGAGATATCTCGTAGTTAGCAGTCAACGTGTTAAGAAACAAGTGAGAAGTATTGGCATTTTTTATCCGATATAAAAAATATATCGTTATAAAAAAAATCGTGGAAAACGAGCGAGAAGTAGAATACGTGTACGCTTACCCAGTATGCATGTTCATATTCATGGTCATATTCATGGAGACGTTGACGGACATAGCCGGGGTGGGCGTGTAGTGCGTCGGTGGCACAGGTGGACCAAGATTTTGCGTGTAATCCTGGGAATAATGATGACCCGATCCTCCAGTGGAATAGTATCCGCCGGTAGGACTTCCGGGGTGGACCACCGCATGTTTCAACGACAGCAACACGTCCGCGACGCCTTCTCCGTTCGCGTTACTCGCCCTCGGCGTGCATTCTCCTCTGGGGCAACCCCAACTGCAAGAGCACTTAAAAATTACAGGGTACATCGAATACGGTGTTACAGTCATTTACTTCTCCGCGTCTCCATCCCTGGGAAATAAACATCGAAATCACTATTGAACAAGAAAACCATGGATTTCTTAGTATCGATGCGAGAGAAAACGGTGAATGTTACGTATTTTGATCAATTGTAAGTTTTACGAGACGCACGCAGCGCGTATAGATAGTCTGCTCAGTAGAAAAGTCTAGCATTGGTCAGACGCGCCGAGTGATTGATACTTTCTTCTTTCTCCACTTCTATTTTCTTTCATTTAAGATTCCACTGGCATTAAATGAAACGACAAATTGATTCGTAGAGATAATATTTCGTTATATCACTGACATTCAATGAAACGAATTCCGTATACGGTGTAGAATGATGTATCAGAAAATTTTACTGAACGTAGAAACGATCAGTTTGATTGTGAGAATAGAGTCGCGAGCGTAAAGCGAAGAGTATTAGAATATCTTGTTTGGACTCACTTATAGGTCCCCGAGCAGGGACTGAAAAGACCAGGAGGTAAAGGGTCCAAGTCGAGCGGTGGCAACGGGAAACCGGCCATGTCGTCGACCCAGAAGCTTGCACCGAACTCGCTCACTACTTGATTCTGTCCAGTGTTCTGGATCTGTTGACCTTGGTCTCCGCCGATGTCCTCCGGCGAGTTCTGCAGATCCTGAAGACGAAGGGTGCCCTGCAAGGCACCCAAAGTCTCCTCGTTCTGGTTGTCTGTTAATGTGTCGTCGTTGGACAGCACTTCCAGAGGCCCGGCACAGAGGCTCGAAGGTATAGTGGCCTCGATACTTCCTACCGAACCTGCGAACAAAAAATATAGAACAATAAATGGACAGTACATAATAGAAAATCGTTGAGTCGTCAAATTAATCAAGATCTTCGATTCCTCGTATATAACATAAAACAATTATTCATAAATCTTTGACGTCTTAGAACAAAATTTCACACGCGATCGGAAGAAAATTCATTATGAAAGAATATGAGAAATTTCTATATAAAACGATTTGTTTTGGTGAATGTCATCGGTGAATCTCAAAATCTGTTCGTAGGTATGAACACGATGCTCACCTGTGCCGAGGGTGTACGGCGATTCGGAGGTGTTCACCGCGTGATGATTCTGCAGAAACTCCATCTCTGCGAAATTTCTGGTCGCAGCCGCCCTTAGAGACACCCCCTTCCCTCGCCTCTCGACAAAATACGCGGACGGATTGCCTCCTCTCTGTAGAGATGTGGTCCAGCCCCTCTGGTCTCCCTGGCAACCGCACATTGCTCCGTGAGTACGACCGACTTCTTTATCAATATTTTCCGCGATATTTCCGGTCCGAACGTCGTCGCGACGACGCTTTCTTAATCTTCGGTCGAACGCGTTCCTCATTCGTTTAACTCTCCGCTGACTTTTTTTTTCCCTCTCCGGTATTTCGTAAGGCTACGGTTACACTGAATGCGTATTCGGTAAACTGCTGTTCCGGCGTACGAAACATCTGATGGCTGCAATGCGTACGCTTACAAAAATGCAAATACATTTTTATACATTATCGAATAAGTCAATACGTATCCAGCGTAATCGTAACCTAAATCCTGTGACTATAATCTAGTTAAGTAATCGATAAGAAAATTTGAAGGTACGTGACATACATTAATTGTTAATGTACATATAATAGTAAAAGCGTGAGTTGATAGTTAAGTCAGCTTAGCGAATTTTATTTTGTAAGCCCTGGACGCTTATACGATATATGTAGATTTAAAAAATTGCGAGTGGCTTCCGATTTCAATTTTTTAATCATCTCTGTACTGTATTTTGACGAGTGAAATATTCACTGCGTCCACGCTTTTTGTTTTAAATATTTGGTTATTGAAACTCTATTCCGTTGTAGATTCATGAACTATTAATCGATGATTGATGATTATCGAATACGTTGCATGGCTGAATAATTTGCATTTACTGTCGACTTCCAATTTTTCGTGAATGTCGACACAATGCAATAATAAACAGCGGAATCGTTAACGATGGTCGGGAGGGTGAGAATATTATTAAAAAAAAGTGAGTAAATTTGAAAAGTGACTTTTTATGAATGACTGAAAGGAAAATGCACGTGCATATGGACCGAGCGTATAGAAGTAGGTACCTTTATGGCTTGGAAGACCTGTCGGTCTCCTCTAAAGGCTTCTGCAGAAAATCTGCCAGATATTTTCATTCATAGCTTGAAAACCATGTGCATCAGCCCACGTGATTTTGTTCTCCATCTTCGAGCGAACATTACTCGTTCTAAAATACACGTTTCGTCACGTAAAACTAGCGTCATCGATTTCGGTCCACTTTTACGATCGACGAATAATTTTAACGACAAGACGTTAACACCACACCCTGTATTCTGTTCGAATCGGTTTTTGATTTACGCTCGTTAAATATCGCGTCACTACACATAGTCTCTTCCCACGGTCTTCAGTTCTTCTTTCTGTTCTTATAAAGATTTCTAATCTTCTTCCCGAACATTTCTGAACTCCGCTTTCGTTCTCCGCGAGAACCACATATTCCTCAGAATGCAACTTTCAGTCTGATCTTGAAACACAAAGAAGACATAACTTCACCCCGAACACAAATTCCTCTTCGTTATGAATCTTCGGCTTCGAAACGTAAAAATGACGGATCACTCAATCCTAGTTGCACCGAAGTAATCCGAGGTTTGCCAGAAAAACGATCGAATTAATCTCGAGGTGAGAAGAAGAAGACCTCGTTAATCGCACCGCGTGCTGCTGCCATGCTGGCACGACGGTTTGTCAATGTGTCTTGGCTAACTAGAGATCTACCACCTACTATCACCCACTCTCACCCCTTACTCACTGACTACTACTCCTACCCCGCTCAGCCATGGGCCGGCCTTTTTCTCCGCTGTCTTTTTTCCACTCCCTCGTCTGTCATCGTTTCACGTGCATACCGTCCTCCTCTTCCACGTGTCCCTACCCCTACCCCCGTTTACCTTACGTCCATGCTTCCTCGGCAAGGTGTTTGCTAAGGAGATTTGCAGGACTTTTCAACTTTGCATGCGGTTAACACCAACCCGACGTTTTCTATTCTACGTTATATGCAAAGCGATTGTTATGAAGGTCAGTTAAATTGAACGAACGTGGACAAATAATTATTTATAATTTCCAATAAAATTATATGTACAAACAAATACTGTGTAAAATAAAATGTAGATGGTTCCCAGCTTGTCTAAACAGTCGAGATATCACTGTATCTGGCTGTATCGTCTCTATTACAAAGTATAAAAAGATGGAACAAAGTGTCGAAAGAATGTCGAAGTCGGCGACGAAGACGCAACGGTTTCGAACGATATCCATGTCCACAGGCGTGTAAGACGCAGGACGTTCGGGTTGGCCGTCGTCGATGCCGACGACACAGGATACTAATCGTTCATTCGGCGATCGGTGATCGGGGGCCTTCTTCGTCCGCCTGGCTCGCTATACCGATATCCCCGTTGGCCAGAGCGGGACGGGGAAGTAGGATATTATTTTCTTCAGATACCATTACCACGCCGATCACGGTGGTCCTGCCTCGCAGACGAGTGGCCCCGATACCCTCGAGATCACTGGCTTGTAATGCCTTCCCTTTCGTCGATTATTGACCAGTGAACGGTGAGCCCGGCTGCGAAACACTCCGACGCTACCTATTCCGCTTGCCACCCTCTCCCGTCCGCCGATACCTCGCGAGGACGCTGTTTAACCCTTTCCTCGTCAAATCACCTCGCGACGAATACTCATCGACGAAAGGGACACGAGATAACGATATCTACTACCGAACTCTTTCATCCCTTCGTCGAGTCGCTTCATATACGAATCTTAGATGACAAAAAAAACCGAAAGACAAATTGCACGATACTTGCTTGATATACTTCAGAAGAGTGACGTCTATAAAAAATGACAGTGAAAGTTTTTGCATGTCTTTTTCGGTACACATTTTTCAAGCTTTCCCATCGTTCAAGTGAAGGTTTTTGCACGGGACCTTTACAGGGTTTCTTGCTTTATGCGCTTCGTTGAGATTGTTGCCCCATTCTTATAAGAAGTTCGAGGGAGATCTGAACAGCGCGAGGAAGAAGCCTGTGGCTTAATTGCACGTTAGCGGTACAAACACTTGGATACTAGACTCACGTGACCCGATGCTGTTATTAAAATAGGATTCGAAACGAGAAATAATAAAGCGATTGAACAGAGTGTCAAATATTTTATTTAATGGAAGTAGAAAATGTCGTTAAACAACAATTCTCATTTATTAAATGAAATGAGTAACAAATCTGTGCACGTAAGACCGCTTCCCTTATTACGTGGACGCGATGCTGGAAGTGTACTTCCGTAAGCAGGGAAAGGGTCAGTCAGCCGTTGAATGGAGGTGGTTGAAATTTGAAAAAATGCGAACTCGTCGGTGGCTGGAAACGTCGCCTCTCACGAGCACCGAGTCAGGGCGCATCCGACTATCGAATGTCTCGACATAATCGCGACCGTCAGCCCGGACACCTGACTACGCAGTTCCGATGCGACGTCGACACAGGAAGAGGAAGTCGACCACACGCTCCGGCCACCGTGTGTCCATTCAATACTCATCAATCGATCCGTTTCCAAAATTGAACAGAAGAGAAGCGGCGCTGAATGGAAATTCGCAAACCAAAGAGAGTGCAGGCTTCGTGTATTAATTATATGCGTATTTCAATGAAATTCATATAAATTAAAATAGAAAAAGAAGATCGGAGAAAGGAAAACGGAAAGTAAGAACATTGTACAGAGAAGAGTTTGCAACGGTGCGCCGAGTGCACACCCTTGGTATTGGCTTACACTTCCAGCCGATTGGGCCCACGGTATTTACGCAGGACCCCGTAGAAAACCGGACCCCGCCTCTCCCCTTTCGACGGTAACGCGCGATTCCATGGAACTGTAACGTTTCCAGCGTGGAATTCCTCTTGCACCGCTGATGTTCTTCACTTCGACTTGAAGAGTATCAATAATGCAACTCGTGGTAGTCAAAACTGTTCATCGTTGTGAAATTACAGAACTCACTATCAAATGGAAGATTAGGTTGGAACTGGACACTTCACGCATTGAAGTTACCAATGTTCCTTCGGCAGAGACAGTCACACTCTCAAAATAATTAAAAATGCTGTGCGTATTGGAAACAAAATTTGCCAAGTTTGATCACTCAGCCTCTGGATTAAAAAATTGCTACTGTACGTGGTCAGACAATTTGCATTTCACGCTCAATTTCCCGATGTCAGATCGCTGGTTCAAAGACCGAGATAGGATCTATGGCAACCAGAATCAGGCTTTTCACCCTCCGCGGAGGGTGAGCATTGCCACACCTGTGTTTGCTCGCACCTGAAATCAAACGGCCGATTACGTACTCGCGATTCACCAGCGAAAGAAGCAAACACGCACATCCGCATCGATCACGTGTGCATTGTTAAGTGACGTGATGCACCGACGATCATCGTGCCCAGTGAAATAACTCAAATGTTTTCGGCAAACACGATAGATACTGTGTCGTAAAGAGGCTTCGCTGAAACACAATTTTCTCAGGCTGTGTCAATTGGATCATTGCAATACCGCATTTAATCATGATATCATAACGAATCGATGATTAAATTCTTTTCTCTCTCCATGATGCAATTTTTGTCTTTATCATACGAATATCCTAATCTACGCGCCGGTACAGGTATTAGTTAATACGACCAGGAAACGGGTCTAGCGTGATACAGAGAGTTGAATGATTAATCCTCGCGATGAGATGACAGTGACGGTATTGTTCGCGATCAAAAGTTCCTCCCACTGGTCTCATCTCCCTTCGGTGAAGTGATTGCGCATCGGATAATCTCCGGTACAACGATGAACCCCGCTTTCAAACGATCGAGATGTTACCAAATACGTCACGGCTACTTAATTACATTTGCGGCGAACCGCCTCTTGCGGCTGGAGCGACTCGCGCCGTGTAATTGGAAAATGGATGCTCTTCGACCCTCGCCTAGTTCCACCTGAAAATGCGAAGATGGAAATACAACAGGAGATCTCTGTTTGAATTACGAGTACAAAAAATTCATTGGATCACGCGAGATCTTATGAACCGATGGGAGAAGATGATCTTAATAAGTTGTACAGAGATCATGAAGACTTGAAACAGTGAAACGGTGGCGAGAGATCTGGGAACGTTTCGTGGCCGGGAAAATCCCATCGGATGACAAGATAGCGATCGGATAGTGGCTTATTACGTTCTTTATTCGTGGAGATCTTCTTCGGCGTATGCGGTAACGGTGGCGGCCGGCTGGCACGCGCCGCATGTAATTCAATCGGCTGTATTTCGACGACGGGGAGAGGGTGGTCTCGGAAAGTGGACATGGTTTTAATCCTCGAGGAAACTGTTACGAACGGTCCCCGTGCTAATCATCCCGACGATTCTTGCCTTATTTTCTTAGCCGGCCAGCGCGGCCAGATGCGCCTTCAACCCTTTCTCAAAATACGAAACACGATACCAGACGTCTGCGGATAATTACAACATCTCCAACTGCCTCGGCCAAGAATAGACCGTCGATTTTTCAATAAACAACGCACGATACGAGCGTCTGTAATGATTTGAGGAAACTTCTGATGTGCAAATTAATTAAAAGTACGACTTGGAATAAAACTGGAGGCTCGGGAAAGTTTCGTCGAGGGACGCGTAATGAGGAACGAGGAGAGACGAATTGGACGTCCCTAGGACGGTACAAAGAGGAGAGACGCGTCTAATTGCGCCAGTATTCCGGAATTGCTTTAAAGCATTAACCGTAGAACGTCGCAGAGAGGTATACAACCCCCCAAGATGGCTGCTCCCGGGCGTATCGACGTTTAGCGGTTGCAGGGTTTCCCAGAGGTAAGCTCATCGGAAATTGTGGGTCTTCCCGCCCCTGGCATCGCCTCCGCCGCCTTTGCTGGCCCTTCAAAACAAAGAAACACACGTAATTAAATTTTTGTCCTGTACAAATTAATGTCCAAGCCACGGCAGCTACCGCGGCTGTACCGTTTCGCGACGGGAAATTTAATCCGCGATTCGCTTTCCAATCTCCGTCTCGTTCCCACTCTTCGTTTCCTTCATCCATTTATTCAGCCTCCTCGTTTAATTATTATAACTTTTATTTCCACTCGATTACCTTTCGATACTCATCGCGTTGGAGAAATTTATTGAGTTTTAATCTAGTCTTGTTACTACTTAAAGTTTATATTTAGCCAAAGCAAAAATCAAACAGTCGATTGATTAGGAATAATAATCGATGTCGATAATCTCAAGTTATAAAATAAAAATTCTCAAGGATTGATAATCGTGCAACTGATCTATTTACGTACGCTTCGTTATTATCTTTTATTTTATATTCAAGAACGAATGCGTGTATCCGTATCGCTGCTCTTTCATGTCCTCGCTAAATTAGTTCGTAAATTGCAGATAATAATTACAGAGAATAATAGGAACCAGACGATAACACGCATACTCGTTAATGAAAATATGTTCTTTCGACCGTCAGTTCATTTGAGTTATGCAAATTATTTTGCCAGATAACTGGTCGGCTGTTTCAGATAAAGAATGACGGTGTTATTGTTTTATTGAAGTCAGTCACATATTCGTTCCGGCTAATCAAATCGCTATTCGTTCAATACTCCAATCTTTTAAATATTCATTTTTACGTAATGAATGATTCCCTCAGCATGTTTTAGACGTTAAGTTCAGTTGATTTTTCTTGTAAGTTCATCTGTGTTGACCCAAGCAGTTGCGATTTTCATGAAAAATTCATGCTCGAAGAATATTAATCTGACCTTTGAACAGAATTTGTTTGCCGCTAGTTAAGTCAGACAGTAATTCGTATAACAACTAATGACTACAGTGTATAAACACACTCGTTATAAAGATGGAAACATAATATTTGCTCGCATAGTGCACAGTGAATGATGAATTTTCATTATTCTGCCAGAGGAAAGGAACGGGAGGTAAAATAAATGAGAACGTCGAGCGTTCAGGCAACAACTATTCATATATATTTCATAAAATTAAATAGCAACGTGTATACAAAAATACGGTGTTTACTCGGAGATAATTGTGAACCACTGTACAAAACTCTAACGTGAATCTATTTACAATCGCGCTACGTGAGAATTAACTAGGAAAAATACAATCGCCCGATTCTTCAACTGATTCCGACTTTCGTGTCCTCCGGATGCTTGTCACGGAGCTCCTGTGAACAAAAAAAACAACAAAACGCGTAAGTTCGCTTCCTTCCGCGCTGATTTTCATCCATTCGATATTCCGTATATAATTCGTCGAACGCATTAAATCCGCAACAGCAAAGAAGCGTGAACGTACGTGTAATATCTGATAGTGGCCTCCTTTCACTTCGTGTTGCTCGGTTTCTGCAGGAGGTTGGCGCGTTATGTACGTAGCTATGTTTTCCGCGTCCAACGGGCCAAAGGTCCAGCCGCCTTCCCCGTCGAAGCGTAACAACAATTTGTGATACTTGGCGAGCGAAGCTACGCGATGAGTAATCGTTAACAAAGTGATGCCTTTCCTCTTCGCGGTGTCGTAGATCTTTCCCTCGGCCTCGAGGTTCACCGCGCTGGTGCACTCGTCTAATAGAGCGTATTGCGGCGCGTGATAGAACAGACGCGTCATCGCGAGCCTCTGCTTCTCCCCGCCGGACAGCGTCGAGTCCCAATCGCCGAAAGTGTCGAGTCCATCCGGTTCCCTCTCGGCAATACCTCGCAGATCGACTTCGTCCAACAATTTCAACAGCTCTTCGTCGGAACAGTCCTCGGTTTGCGATTCCGAGGGGTAGAGAATCTGGTCTCGCAGGCAACCGACGGTCATGTACGGTTTTTGAGGGATGTAGAACAGGGCAGGTCGCGCACGCTTCGCAGAGTGATTTTCCGCTGGCCTGATTAAGGTGCCTCCGTATACTGGCCACAAGCCAGATATTATGCGGAACAGAGAGCTCTTACCGCAGCCATTTGGACCAGTGATTAGGATATTATCGCCAGGTTTTATCTATAAAAGACAATGTACGATCGTTAATTATTTTCATTCTCGACGACGTCGACGCGGTTCATCTTACGTGAATAGTTATCCTAGGCACGATGATTTCGCAATTCGGCGTGACTATTGGCACATCGATCAAGCTTATACTGCCGTCGGTACTTTCGCGCACGATTCCTATCCAAAGCATTTCTCATGTATTAGTAATCGGGCAAGTATGCTCAGCGTCATACGTTATCTCGTGTATTCGTGGAATAATACCTTTTATCACCGGCGCACCGTCTTTCAATTCGATTATATTGTCTAAAGCGAAGTTAGCCGTGCCGTTCGTCACTCTCGCTGGGCTATTGACAATATTTCTTCTATATTTACACAGAGCGGCGTCTTTGAACACGTCTAACATCTCACTGACGCGTGCTGCGTACCCCGCTAATGCTACTAACTCCTACAATAAATAAATAAATAGAAATTCAAAGTATTCTCATGGGCGATTCGAAATCTTACCTTGTACGATGACATAAGTCTTTCTACGGCGTCTGCACCGGAGCTCAATAGATTTTTAGACGTGGTCAGATATCTAGTTCGTTCGCTGACTCCACCTGCTACGCCGTACATAAAATTGTATACACATAAAAATGACGTACGAAATATGAGAAGATCGTTGCGTACCGTCGCCGTCGTCGGATGCATGAGTATTTCCTGACGTAACGGTGGTATACAGAAGCGGCATGGCGATGACCACGAGGCCAGTGCCGGACCAAACGTACTTCATAAGGAATTGCTCGAGCATGACGTACCAGAACTTGAGAGCCAGGACTCTTCTCAAGTGCGATACGAGTGACTTATAAGCGGTGCTCAGGTATTTGTGCTCCGTGCAATGACCCCCGTAGAACGCGATTTCTTCCGCGTGAGCATTGACGCGAGCGTGCGCCTCCCTCAATATTCCGCGTTTCGACGCCTCTTCGGCCACCAGCTGGCCAAACTTAGGAGACGTGAGTCGTAAAATTTGACCAGTCAGAGCGACCACTGCGCAGGCCAGGACTGGTCCTATAAAAAGATGCAAATTGTATTCAGATTTAGAAATCGATTTGCTTTTCAAATGATCGATAACGATTTAATTATTCATATGGCTCGCCAATCCTTTTACGCACCGCGTATCTGCCTCGTTCCCATCTTGGAAGAAAACGAGACAAGGGCAATGGCTACTAGAGCACAGTCTAACAACGGTTTCGTTAAACTCGAGTAGAGATGAGCCACGGAACCAGCCAGTTCAGACAGATCGTCTGTCAGTCTTTGTTCAGCACCTCCGAGCCTATTGTCCAACGCTGTCACTCTGTAGTAAGTCTGTTGACTCAGATACATTTTGTAAGCGTGCTCCACCAGACGTCCTCTTTAAAAACAAAACAGATACTTGAACACCGGTACTCGTCGATAGATCGCGGAGACGGAAGAAGAAATACCTAAAGCTGAGAGCCAACCGTCCCTCCAGGTACCGGATCGCCGAATTAACGAACGTGGCAGGCAAAGCGATGGCGAACCATCTACCGAGCATCAACGAGAATACCTTGACGTCCTTCAACACGATCCTTTTCACTATCTGGCCCTCCAAAGCGGCCACGTAAACCGACAGGAACGTCCTGGCCAGTAGCATCACCGTCGCGCAGGTCAACAGACCGGCTTCGCGCGTTCTCCATCCCGGTACCATGATCTTCAGCAACGCGATCAGCTGTTTGACGAACTCGCGATCCAGTCCGACGTTCGGCTTCGCGAGTTTGCTATTCGATTTTCCCGCCTTGACGTTGTTCTTGTGCCGTACATCGTTCTTGTGTCTGTTGTTCGACGACTGGACTTCATTCTCGTTCCGCTTTTTTTTCTTCTTGTTGTACTGCTTCAAACCGTACGATACCAACGGGTATCCGATCTTGATTATGTAGAGCGCGGTCGCGACGCCGGCCACGCCACGGATCAGCTGGTCTTGCCTGATACCGTATTTGGCGGACGTTTTGTCGATTAGCTTCGAGAACACCGACGACATCCTGCCGGAGGCCACGCTCGCATCGGAGCGTAGCGCGTGACGTAGAAGCCCGTTGCGAGCGTCGTTTAATTGAAACGATCGTCTCTCAACTGACGTTTGCCTGTTTTCAACAACGTCGTTGTCGGTCGGTTACTCATCCATCGTGGTGCGCTTTCTTGGCTGCCTTCTTCTGGTTCTTCCTCCTCCACCTCCGCGGCCGCCTCCTCCTCCTCCTCCTCCTCCTCTTCGACGAGCCTTATCGCGCAGATCCCCGTCCGCTCCGTGTGAGTATACGCTCGATGGAAAAAGAGAAGGCACACACGCGCGATGCTGGCGTGTAAGCGAACACACACCCGCTCCGTTCTCCAACGGCAGTAGACGATCCACGTAGACCGGCTACCAGCTGGCAACTGCTCGTGCTCGTCACGTCTCTCTCGCGGACCGCTGCCGCCGCCGTTCTCTTTTGGACCCTCTCCGCGGCAGCCAGCCCGGCCAGAACCGTGACTGGTCGCTAGAGCCAGCGTTTCGTGTTTTGCGTCTACCGCTGGACTTGGACCCGAGATTCGCGATCGTAGATATATGCCACGATCGAGCGTTGCTCCAATCTTAGGACTCCAAAATCTGCGATCCTCCCCTACGCCCGGGAGGTATCGCTTCGCACAGGAATCAGAGTCATCACGCGCCAATGCCTCTCAGTTCTAACTTTCAAAAGTTCTTCCATTCTATGACGCGGTTTCGTCTTTTTACTAATGCTTTTCTTGCGCGTTCTAATTAATGTAATTATTCGATGATGCATCTCGCTGGATGTTTTGCAATCGATGCAGTCGAACTTGCTGGTTAATGCATTGAAATAGGCTTGTGATGTAATTTAGTTTCGTCATAAACGGCTCCGCGCTCATTGAAAGTTGCATTACTAGCGTTAATGAACATTGCCTGGGTAACTGGTTGACCTTTGCACCTTAGGGACGTTTTATAGCTCGCATTTCACGCGGTGTTCATAATTGTCTTAAGCAAGTGCCGATTACAAGTTCGAATGATATTCCGGTTTTTCTCCGTTGCTCTGTATTTAAAACGGGAAGAGATCTGATCGAAATTCATGAGTCTCGTTTACGTCTGTATACTTTGAAATGTTTCCTTTACACGTAGTTGCTCTCTACGTTTACTAACAGGCTTAACATGTTTCTGTTGTAAAACATTATTACTCAGACCGTCAAGGATCTACGGCCATTGTTTGCTCTGCAAAGAAATGTTCATTTCATAATGTATATAGCAATACTGCGACCGCCGATCATTACCAGTATCAGAATCAGCATTGGTTCGCAACTAGTATACGTGTTCCGTTTGTGGATCGAAGTGCCGCTACTTAACTGTATCCACGGCCATCCTCTCCTCTCCGGACGGAGATCAAAGTTACACACGCGTGTTCGTAAATGATGAGAATTATTATTTATACGTATAGTCATCCCGCGACGCGTCTTCCACACACTTGCCTCCGGCTTCTTTCTGTTCCTCCTTTCTATCCAGTTTTTCTGCATCTGTCTCCGTCTCTTCCGTTCCCGCCCCCTTTATTAGTCACGAATTTTATGCGGTCAAGAACATAGCGCATTGCACGCCGATTCAACAGATTATATTTGTGAATCACGATCGAACAAAATCTTCGCTCTCGTCACGTTCGAACGCTTTGTGTTCGGTCTGACAATTTTCTCTACTCAGAAATAACGGATAGACGCTTGTTACTTCTGCGTTTCTTCTGCATCATGGTGCAACATGCTATGGTGTGCACGTACAGTGCATGTAGCGTGCGAACGCAGTGCAGTGACCCCAGCGTTCGGTTGATCGTCGTCTGAAAATTTCGATGTTTAAACAAACGTCCAGTTTTATCGGAAAGTTTGTACAATGGAAATTTCTAATTTATTTCCGATTGCATCTTATTGACAACTCGATTTAGTCATAACAATGTTATCTCTAATACGCGTTATCTCAGTTTCAACGTCCGATTGTTTTACATAATAACTTTCAATGATATTATTTGATAAAGAATGTTATACGTATAAAATGTGATACGAGCTCGCGATAATATTTGATTTTGAGATGTGAAAGGCTCGCTTCATGATACACTGAGAGTAGCAAGGTCAGTGCTCTGCTCTGATTCGCATTAAGCTTCTTCCTGGTCTGCGAGACATTACCACAGTATAAAAAAGAACAGTACAAATCTACTCATAATTGACTCTTGCATATAAAAAAATCGCATAACAATTCAAGATCAATTCAGGAGTAATTGATTAATCTTCAATCGTTCATTACTTCAACTATTCCTTAAAGATGTAGTGGCTATACAGTCAATCCCAAAAGTTTATGTACCTTAGAAAAACGCATTTCCTATAATTAAAAAGAAATCAGACGTCGGAAGAACAATACTAATAATAAATAGCTATGTGCTAAAA